AGGCATGACTTCAAGACACAGATGCATGATTGGATTTGTAGTTGCAGAACCGCTGGAGGGCTGATCAGGTTAGAATTAAAGGAGAACTATGAGGTAAGTGAAAATCACTCATCCTCATAGTTCGAGCCGACGTGTGACAATGGAACTGTCACATGCCTGCTCAATAGATCGGGAAGTGAGCGAACACATACCCTCGCTCGCTCACTTCTCGATCATCTCCCTGCAGAGAGCAGTTTCGGCTCCCTTCAGGGATTGGCCTCCTCCCCGCTCTTATCCTCCAGCGCTGACTGGAATAAAAGACAGGGCGGGCACAGCTGGCTCTGCCTCTAGATAGGCAGAGCCAGCTGCCACTCATGCAGCTGGGTGGATCTCTCAGTAATGTCGGGATCCGTCCCGGCTGCGGCGGTCTCAGTCTGCGAGCTGTAGCCCGCGATATACTGAGCTTTGGGTCACGGGAGGAGGTTAGTATATGTCCTCCTATGACTCTAAAGAGAACTATAGGGAAAAGCACCTACCCCATAGTTCTCTTTTAAGGTCCGGGATCCATGCTAAGTGTTAGTCACCTGACTAGTCGGTCGCAGCCAATGAAATCGCTTCCAACAGTAAGTGCAGAACCAATCACAGCTGACCTGAGATACGAATCTTACTTGTTTGGATAGAAGTGTATAAAGAACAACAATATCTTGTGGGTATCACCCAAATGCCCCTCCGTGACCTTCCATACTGCAAAGGAAGGTGAAACAGAAGAATGTGATTGGCTGCCGGGAATGAGAACTGATGTGCATGAGGCCTAGAGTGTTGTCCATAGAAACCACTGAGATTAAGACGCCCGTACTCAAAGGGCAGGTTAGAAAATAAAAGAAAGAGACCACAAATCCAGTTCCTTTACACATCCAATGGTGAGACCTGAAATCTGCTGTGAAAGAGGTTACACACTGGAAGGTATACTGAAGGACAGAAGTCACACCGGCCTATGCTTGGACTAGTCATACACAGCTAGATTTTCCCTCATTTATACTACCAGATTTTACTACCTTTACCTTTATACTACCAGATTTTACTACCTTTATACTACCAGAGTTTACTACCTTTACCTTTTCACTACCAGAGTTTCCTACCTTTACACTATTAGATTTTCCTACCTTTACCTTTATACCACCAGATTTTCCTACCTTTACCTTTATACCACCAGATTTTCCTACCTTTACACTGACAGATTTTCCTACCTTTACCTTTATACCACCAGATTTTCCTACCTTTATACATCAGATTTTCCTACCTTTACCTTTATACCACCAGATTTTCCTACCTTTACACTGACAGATTTTCCTACCTTTATACCATCAGATTTTCCTACCTTTACCTTTATACCACCAGATTTCCCTACCTTTACACTGTCAGACTTTCCTACCTTTACACCATCAGATTTCCTACCTTTGCCTTTATACCACCAGATTTTCCTACCTTTACACTGCCAGATTTTCCTACCTTTAACTTTATACCACCAGAGTTTCCTACCTTTACACTGCCAGATTTTCCTACCTTTACCTTTATACCACCAGAGTTTCCTACCTTTACACTGCCAGACTTTCCTACCGTTAACTTTATACCACCAGAGTTTCCTACCTTTACACTGCCAGACTTTCCTACCTTTACCTTTATACCACCAGATTTTCCTACCTTTACCTTTATACAACCAGATTTTCCTACCTTTACCTTTGTACTAACAGATTTTCATACCTTTACACCGAAGTTCTAATAAAAGAGTTCCTAATATTTGACAAGTAAAGCTCCCGCTTTGGCAGTAAACGATTACACGGATATCACACATACATGACGATGATGGTATTCTTAATGTTCAGGTCACTTGGCATGTCAAGCAGGGAATATTGGCCTGGAAATGACTTTCCTATAAACACATATTGGATGTGATTTGTATGCAGCAGACAGAACAGTGACGGCAGTAACCGGATCCATTATTAAGGATCAAATGGCTGCCCCCATCTCCTTAATATACAGGAGAAATATTGCCCCGCCCTATTGCTTTCAGCCAATCGGCTCTTCTTATACAGATTCCGCTCCTTTGTATGGAGCATTTCTTATTGTTTTCTTTTTTTCTTGTGTTTCTGTTAGTAATTTGATTTTAGTCCACTTGGCTGGGAGCAATAGCCAGCCTGCTAATGGCTATTTTAAATTGCAGTAGCCAATAGCAAGCTGGCTATTGCACCCACCCACTGCCTGATGTCAATCAGCAGAGGAGGGACTTGAAAGAGAAAGTTCTCCTTCAGGTCCTCCTCTGCTTATTGACAGCAAGTGGGTGACAAAAGCCCAGGTGCCAGGATGCAATTTCGAGTCGCCATGGCGACCTGGCACCTCGGAAATGTCGAGCCCTGGACTATACAATGAGGGGAATTTATCAAAACTGGAGCAGACACAATCTGGAGCAGATGCCCATGGCAACCAATCAGAAACAGACTAAAGAGAGAAGCTGATTGGTTGCCATAGGCAATTGCTCCAGATTCTTCTGCTCCAGTTTTGATAAATCCCCCCCCCCCCCCCCCCCCCCCTAATGTCACTGAGGGCTTGTTCACACCATTTTCTGGTCCGGATCTGAAGCAGATCTGCAATGCGTGCAGTGCGTTATCGACGTGTTTCTGACGCGTTTTTACCGCGTTCCAGTTAAAAAGTGGGGCTGTCAGTATGTTACTGACAGCCCCACTGGTGTGTCTCCACATGCAGGAAATTATCTAGTTCTCCAAATGTGCCTCTCCTAAGAGAGAGAGGCACATTTGAAGAAATAGATCATTTCCTGTATGTAGAGACACACCAGTGAAAGTATAGCCAAGTAATCTTTGATCATTTCCCGCACTTTCCAGTATCTTAAGAGAGAGGGTCTTTCAACGCTTTGTATAAATGGAGAAGTAGATCATCTCATTTCATACATTTATCATCTATATTATGTGTTGATCATATTGCCACAAAGCCGTCCTAACTTAAAGGAGAATTATGAGGTGAGTGATTTTCACCTCAGCCTCATAATCTGAGCTGACCTGTGACAATGAAACTGTCACAGGTCGGCTCAGTAGATCGGGAAGTGAGCGAACACATTCCGGCGCTCGCTCACTTCTCGATCCTGTGCCTGTAGAGAGCCATGACAGGGGAGGGACTGGATTCCTCCCTCCCCTGACTTTTTACTGAACGGATGGCGGAGGGGGCGGGTAAAGCTGGCTCTGCCTCTAGATAGGCAGAGCCAGCTGTCACTCACGCAGCTGGGTGGATCCAGACAGCATTGTCGGGATCCGTTCCTGCTGCGGCGTTTCAGTATACCGCGAGCTGTATACAGAGCTTTGGATGACGGGAGGACGCTAGTTTGTGTCCTCCCGTTACCCTTAGGAGAACTATGGGGAAAAGCCCTGACCCCATAGTTCTCCTTTAAAGACCTTGCTCTGTCCAAAAAACAATACATTGTGCACTTTATTTGGCAACAAATTGGATACCTTTTTTCAGCTTGTTGGTATGAATGATTGATGAGTGAAAGTGAAACAACGTTGTCCACATTATTTGTTCTGAGCATGACCAATAAGTGGGTGTCTTGTGCTTTCTGTTTTTTTCCTATGCAATAAAACTCTTAATAAAGTGTTTTTTTACTGAATATAGTGGCGACTCCGACCCTTTATGACTACTATGGTTTAAATCCCCTTGGGGATCACACCGAGGTCTCTTCCGTCATTTACGTTTAGTCTTGGGCTGTTGAGTCTAGCCAATTAAAAACCTCATTAGTGAGGAAGGGGGTAAGTAAATCGCAAACGGTGTCTGTCTCTGGATAAAATCTTTCTATTTTAGCTTGTATGGTGAGCCTAAGGCCCAAATCAGAAAGCTTCACACAACCTAAGGATCTTTATTTTGCCATACAAACAAGTTCCAAAGAGCTTCCCACCGCACTCCTTACTGGTATGTCCCTTTAAAGTGGGTGCTGCAGTGATAGTTGATGGCGCTACTTCAAATCTGAATAGTAAAGTATATCGCCAGCACACCAAGGTAAAATCTTCAACGAGTGGTCATTTTATTGATGTACACACATCATGCCTGATGAAGGGACCCTGAGTGGCCCCGAAACGTTGCTTTATGACGAGATGTGTGTACATCAATAAAAGGACCACTCGTTGAAGATTTTACTTTGGTGTGCTGGTAATATACTTTTCTACTTTATTTTGCCATGTGACCATTATTTTCAAATCTAAATGGACTGCAAATAATGTCAGTTTATTGAAAATAAGGACCCGTATCCTGGTGTGTCAGCTTTGTGAAGGGAACAAATGATGAAAATACAGACAATACATTACACAGTCACATGACCACAAAGCTAAAGGCATAACCGTCCTCTGTTACCACCTACTGTCCTTTGTCTAGCAAAGTGAAAGCCACATTCAAGGATGTTGTCAGGAATAAAGTGCAGCGTGACACCAAACTTCTCCAAACAATTCCTCACATGACGTGTACACAATAGAATGTCAGAGAGAAAACTTCTACAGGAGAGGAAATCACCTGTATGAACCATGGCACGGGATAGAAAGGAAATGTGACATGTGTTAGACCTGTTAGAGGTGTGACATGTGTCAGTGTGTTACCTGTTAGAGGTGTGACATGTGTCAGTGTGTTACCTGTTAGAGGTGTGACATGTGTCAGTGTGTTACCTGTTAGAGGTGTGACATGTGTAAGTGTGTTACCTGTTAGAGGTGTGACATGTGTCAGTGTGTTACCTGTTAGTGTGATATGTGTGAGTGTGTTACCTGTTAGAAGTGTCTTGTGTCAGTGTGTTACCTGTTAGAAGTGTTTTATGTGCCAGTGTGTTATCTGTTAGAAGTGTGACATGTGTCAGTGTGTTACTTGTTAGAGGTGCCTCATGTGTCAGTGTTAGAGGTGCCTCATGTGTCAGTGTTACTTGTTAGAGGTGTGGCATGTGTCACCTGTCAGAGGTGTCTCACGTGTCAGTGTGTTACCTGCTCTGCCATCCCTGGATGAGGTTGGTGTACTTGCTGAGTGAACCCTCTATGACTTGTTTCTGTGCGGCTCCTCCATCCACTTTGCTTGTAGCTGTGATCGTCCTCCCGGAGAGGACCCCCCGGCCGGAGGAGGATGGAGATGACCCTGCGGAGGTAGCTCTGCTGCTGCTCCGACTGCTGCTATTACTGCTGCTTCCTCCTCCAGCTTGGGCCGCCTTGTCCATGGCCCTGGCAGATCCCCGGTTCCCTCAGTACGGCCAGAGCCCGGTCCTCGCCTAGTTGTCGGTCTTGTTTCAGAGTTGTGTTCTGCAGTCGGCTATCTCATGCAGCTTCCTGCTCTCCTCTCCCAGCGCTCCTCCATGATACAAGACACATAGATCGCTATAAGGACGTGTCAGCTGCTGTCCTCCCCGCTTGCTATAAGGCACATTTGTGCCTGCCAGTTCCTAGATTTGAATGAGCAGTGACACATCGACCCCTCCTCCTCCTCCAGAGGAAGACGCCTGGCATGGAAAGGGAGATCCCTCCACCCTCTACTGCTCTCCGGTCTACAGCAGCGCCACCTCCAGTGACACACCTCCTACCCACCATCCCACCCGGATACACTGACACAGACAGCGGGGCTCTTCCATTCTTACTGTATGGAGGCTGATCGATGAAATCAGGAGCTGAGACATGTGCTAGTGTGATGGCATAATGTAAACAAACGTGGTGCTTGTGACTTTCCTATATACAGCTGTATCCATATACCAGGGCAGTGCTCTCATTTTATATCAAAAGAATACACACACAGCTGATGAAAGATATCTGAAAAGTGAAAACTTCCGCTTAAAGAACTACAGGAAAAGCATATATTAACCCTTGCAGTGGGGCTACCCCCAAACTGCAAGGGTTAACTGTTCATTATAGTCTAGAGGCTAAGATAAAGAAGATACACTCACCTAATCCTCAGTTCCACTGCTGTGACAACTCACCTTTCTCCCCTTCTGGCTGGTGGTCTGTTGTCCCTTGGCTCCTCACATATAATGCAGCTGCATTAGAAGTGATGACATCACGGGTTTTTAGAAGACCAGAGTCCAGGGGAGAAGCGGCTGCAGGAACCAATCTAGCAGCCAAGCAGGACCAAGGATCAGGTGAGTATATTTGCTTTATTTTAGCCCCCTTGGCCAAAACAAGCAATTAACTTTTGCAGCGTAGGGGTAGCCCCACTGCAAGGGTTCAATTTTACATTTCCTGGAGTTCTTTAAGGAGGGGGCTGGGGAGTTAGTGGTTACCATAATTAACGCTGTCTGTACTGTGTTGGCAGGTTTGAATATAAGTTGTCAAACAGGTGTGCACACTGTCTATCCTAACAAAGTGTCAAGATCTCAAGGCTCGGGTGGTAAATTGTATGTTAAGGGCACAGCCCTCCTTTTAGTGGAAAAAATGTAAAAAACGCACACATATGAAAGAAAGACAAAAATGTGCATTTGGGAATGTTTTTCACATTGGATCCTGCAAAGCATTGCAACTGCAATCAGACTGCAGACTCTTCAGACTTTCCGGTGCAGGGCTGAAGGAAGTAACCAATGGACTACCAGTGTGGAGATGGCAGGTCACTTGTGTTTCATTAAGATCCCCAATCCTGCGGTGGCAGATCTTCCATTCACAGATCCCTGTGCTCTTCCCCACAGTCACACCAAATTATGACAGGATTCTGCAGGAAAAAGCACCCTGCAGTTCTGGTAAATGTGGAGGTGAGGTGATTTGAGGATAGGGGGTTAAGAATGTGACCATGTTTCATGTTACTTTGTTATATCTGTAATATTTACCGATCTTCTGTGTGCAGGACAAACACTGGGGTGATCAGCTGATCACTCCAATGTTTGTAAGCCACTGGGGAGACATAGTACTATGTATCATGAATGGGTAGTAGCACTCACTATAGAGGCTTCTACCCATTCATAACTGGATGATAGTAAACATTTTCTGTACTGAGTGCTTTATATTCATTTAGAACAGAGGTTGCAGAAAGAGAGCCAAAGGGCTCTGTGTCCTCAATTTATTTTTCTGTTTCCAAAGGGAAATGTAAGGGGCCACTATGCTCGAGGCCGGGCACATGATGTCACAAGATACTGGAGCATTTTGTCCACCTTCTGACCGTTTTGTCTTACCTTTTGGTTTAAAGCCCAACTCTGTGCACAGTAAACTTTCTGCAGTTCAGTAAATTGCAGAGGGACTTTGCTATGAGGTCACCTACCATAATCAGATCTGCCTCCTTCTCCCCACAAGTGATAAGTATAAATGAGGATGGAAACCCAGCTCTGCTGAACTCTCATGCCCACTCCGGTTGTAGCAGTGCAGATCTCATGGACCTCTGTGGTCGCACCTCTGTCCCCCTCTCCTCCTCGCCGATCATAAAGCAAACAGCCCCAAGGTCCATTTTGTGGTGGATTGTCCAACAATCTCTGCTGAACCTGAGACTGGATCACCCAACCTGAGACTAAAGCTGACCATACACTATACACTCTATGTATTGTAAAATCTATGTACAATCTCCTCTAGGTTTACCAAAAGTATGTAACATGAGGACAAGCCTGAACTATCTAACTATCTATTCAAATAGTGTCAAATCAGACAGCCCCCTACCCTACAAAGTGGATGGTAGCGCTTCAAAAAATGTATAGTGTATGGTCAGACATTCATGTTACAATATGTTTATTATGGCGGAACTGCAAATCCCAGCGTTTTACTTACTAGCCAATGGAGACAAGATAGAGAACAACTAAATTTTTTTAGTTAGACAGAAGAAAACAGCTTAAATTTAGCTAAAATTAATGATTCCTCAAGGCAAATTGGAACATCTTGTGAGAACAGCTAAGCTATATTGCTGCCAATATATTTCCATTTAATATATTATTCAAAAAGCCTCTTCAGTGTCCCATTTGAAAATGCTTTCAGTTTGCTA